AACGTTGGTGAAAAAACTTCAAATTATTATATAAAAGATAATTATTTTGAAAAAATTCTATAGCTTTACTATTAGAACTTGCATTATCTAAAGTTAAACTTATCACTTTATCAATAATATCATAATCTTCTAAAACTTCAATAATTTTATTATAGATTTCTAAACCACTATGATCCACATCCATTAATCTAAATCCTAATAAAGATTTATTTAATTTAAATTCATTATCAAAATAATGACTAGTCACACAAATATAATCTTGTTTAGCTCTACCACTCCAAATATCAGCAGTTAAAGCCACACTAATATGACAAGTATGAAATTTATTTTTTAATTCTAATTTCATTTTTTTAAACAATTTTATTAAATCATTTCTAGTTGCAGTTTTAGAATAACTTTTAAATCCTGGAAAAAATGAATTTTGAACAAATCTTTCAAAATATTTATCTTCTGCCATATTAATAGGTTGATCAGATGCAGCAATATATAAAGCTAACTGTTCCCTATATACATCAGAATTATAACGCCAAGTAGTACCCATATTAGTTATTTGAGTTTGATTGCTTTCTCTATTTCCATGTTGATTAATATGTTTATTAGCATGCCTTTTTAAAGTACTAGTACCATTACCTGAATCAGCTTTATAAACATTTGCACAATATTTGCATCTTGCTTTCTTGACTTGAACGCCATTTTCTGTCTCGTAAAACTTGTCGAAATGCGCCCAAACGTCTGATGTGTGTCTGTTTTCGCTTTCGACGGCAGTTGATGATCCCGCCTCAGCTTGAGATGAAGTTGGACGAGGACGACGATTACGAGGACGACTTCTAGAACCACCGGGAGCTGTTGGAATCGACGGCATATTTTGAGGTGTATCGGATTCTGAGACTGGGATTGGGACAGCGGGACTATTTGAATCTCCTGCGTTCATAGTAAAATCAGTGGGACTAGGACTAGGATAGTAGTTTTCTTCATCATTGAAATTGAGGGGAGAGAAATATATATCCATTGTAGTTGAAAAAAAAATTGATGTAGAAGAAATAAAAATTAAAGAAAGAGAATTGGAATATGGAAATTGGAATTTGGAAAATTGGAAATATGAATTGAAAATTGCAAAAACTAATAAAAATTAAAATAAGAGCAAATTGATAACAAAAAGATTAAGAGAATAAATGAATAATTGAGAGAATAGAGATTAGAGAATATGAGAGAATGAGAGAATTTGAGTTGTGAGAAAAATATGAGAGTTTAGGGCCAATTTATAGAAAAAAAAAATGGGGAAAGAAAATGACGAAAAAGACCCCTCCAACGGCTATATTTCAAGGGTAAAAGGGTAATTTAAGAAAATAAATTAATTTTACTTTTTTTTTAATTTATTTTTTGGCCAACCCGGGGGGTTGGCTGTTGCCAACTCGTGGGTCAACCCGGCGGGTTAGCAACAGCCAACCCGGCGGGCCAACCCGCATGCAACCTGCCGGGTTGGCGGGCCTCCTGCAGAGAGGACAAAATAGCAACCCACCCGGGGGTTGCTGGCGGGTTGGGTTCAACCCTGATGGCGAGCCGGTTTAAACCCTCTTTATTACGGGCCGGGTTAGGGTTGACCCGCCTAACCCGGCCCATTTGTTCCACCTCTATTTTTCATAGTATTTTGTAGGAACTAATCATTCTTGGATGCAATTGAAGTCTGCTCTAGTATCAAATAGAGCAATTGTTTCTAGGATAAATTCATCATTGATTAAGAGTTTTATCTTAATATGCCATTTTTTATAAGTTTTTTGGGTTAACATATTTATAAAATCTTCATTATGATCTTTATCATCTTCATATTTATCTTTTTCTTTAGTAAAAAGTAATTTCGAATGTTGTTCTTTTAATTCTTTGACTTCAATTTTTGTTTGTTGGATTTCTTTTGTTAAATCTTCAAGTGTTAATTTCCTTTTTTCTTGTTTTTCGAATTTGTCAATAATATTTTGAAAACTAAGCTTTATGGGTTTCTATTTTTCTATCAGTTTTTTCGAATGTATTTTTTAGTCTTTCTAGATACTCTTTTCTCAAAAGAGAATCATCAATTTTATTAACGGCTTCTAGGAAGAATTTTTTGTCTTTGGTTAAGACATTTATTTCATTTTCACTTGAGGTTTCGATTTCATCAATTTGATTGTCATTAGAAATTTCCTTTTCACTTGAATTTGAATAAGAGGATTGTATCATTAACATTTCAATTTTATTTATGACTTCTTCGTCAAGACTTAATTTTCTAATTCCTTTACTAATTTTGAAATACTTAGCGATATGGCCTTGTTTACCACACCTAAAGCATGTGAATTATCTTGTGGGTTTGTCTGTTTTAAAGATTTGTTTTGTTGAAAATATTTTTTTTCTTAAATATGGGTTTGTATGGGTTTTTCTTGTATGTACTGTTCTTACAATTATTTATGGTTTTATCACATTGATCTTTGCAGGTTATTGTTTTCTTGGTTTTCTTTCTTTTAAAAGAATCTTTGTGTTGATTGTCAAATTGTTGACAAAAACTTCTTAATTCTTTTCTTAACTATTTTCTTTCTTTTTGCCTTTAGTAAGTGAGTTTTTCATCTTTGCAAATTTTCATTTTAACTTTCTGGATAAAACTATGTAATTGTCCATTAGTTAAATTGTCAAATGGTATAATACCATCATATTGTTTCCTATTGTTTCTCTAACCTTTTAGCTAAGATGTTGGATAATCCTGCTAAAAATTTAACCTTCCAATAAACTTTGTTACTATCAAACATTTGCATAACTCTAACAAATAATGTTTCTTTATACCACCTATAATCATGAAAGGGTTTTGCATTTTAAATTCATTAATGCAGTTTAACTTTTGTCTTTTACGTTTGCAACATCTCCTACGAAGTGACGAATTATTGCAAAATTTAAGGTATTAACAACATCTTGAATTTCATTATCATCTTCATTCAAAATTGGTATTCCATTATCATCAATTTTGATTGCGTTAACAATTTCACTTTGGTTTTGATCTTGTAGGTGGCTATCCCACCAAGATTTGAGAGAGCTAGTGAAACCAGCTACTAACAAGTGGGCTATGGCTTGGTCTGTTGAATTATGTTTAGTCCTCCAGGCATTACTGACCATGGTCATTTGTTGTAAACCATAATAATATTATAATCAGACATTCCATCTCTGTTCCATTCATAGATAGAATTAGCATTGTACTTTCTTTGTTGTATTTGAAACGACTCTTCCAAAACTAAAATTGGGGCTGAACCTCTTGGACAATTCATTTTGGGGGTTTTTTCCAATTCAAGTTGTTGATTTGAATAGAATTATCACTTGAGGATGCATTTTGATCATCAGTTTCTAACGATTCTGATAAATCAGTTTTGCCAAAAAAAATTTATATGTCTATAAGTTTGTGGGGTTTCTGGTGTGACAACATTAGAAAATTCTTCTTTTATTTGGTTGAGTTTTTTTATTTATTTCTTGCATAAATTATTCTTTATTCGTTAAAGTTTTAGTGTGTTTTGGTGGGAATTCATGTGAAATAAATCAAAGTTTATTATCTACAATTTTTGGTGGTTTTGACCTTATGTCAATAGGTTTTAGGATATGTTTTCCTACCATGTCTTCAATTCTATTCAATTGTTTGCCAATAGTATTCAAACATTGATTTGCATAATTATTTTGTTGGTAAATATTTTTATATTATTTCTTGATATTTCACTTAAATTTTCTTTGACCTTAAAAGGTGAAGCCTTAATTTCTACTCATTTATAGAAAATCGTTACTTCTGCTAAAGGTAGATGAATTGACTATATTTTTTCAATATATTTTCCTTTTTTGATTTTCCACTGTTTTGCTTTTGTTTGGACACACACATATATATATATATATATATATATACACATGTTGTATTTCACATTTTAGAATTAAATATATTTACATGTTGCATATACTATGTGATTTTGTATATAGTATACCATATGTAGTATTGAGTGTATATATATATATATATATATAAAAGTTAACATGTAATTTGGTAAATGACATGATTTACCAAACAACACCATACAAATATTATTGAAATAACATGTTTGTCACAAATTTTACATAGTAGTATAACTTACATATATATATATATATATATATATGATTTTGTGAATCATAAAAAAATTTAAATAGAATATCTATTTGTCATTTTAAAAAATCGTCTTACTTGCATTAATAGTATAGCATTATATGACTCACATAATATTATAATAAGAGATTAGAGTTCGCATTATCTTTTAAGGTCATTAACGATAATATTATTTTTTAAGACTACTAACGATAGTATTCTAATATGAAATTAGGGTTCGTATTATCTATTAGAGACAGGTATTGATGCCATATGTCACAGATGTAACATATGTGGAAATGATAAAATCTCAAGGAAATAGTTTACATGTTTTTTTTTTTTAAAGAAATTTAATTATTACAAATAATTAATTCAAACTTCTATTCTTAAAAATAATGAAGTATTACTTCTTTAATGTCATTAACGATAATATTATCTTTTAAATAATATTATATTTTAAGACTACTAACGATAGTATTCTAATATGAGATTAAGGTTTGTATTATCTATTGGAGACAAATATTGATGTCATATGTCGCAGATATAACATATGTGGAAATGATAAAATCTCAAGGAAAGAGTTTACATGTTTTTTTTTTTTTTTTAAAAGAAATTTAATTATTACAAATAATTAATTCAAACTTCTATTCTTGAAAATAATGAAGTATTACTTCTCTCTCCTCATTCGATAATGTCAATAGAGGGAATTGTTTTCCCTCCAAAAGGTCGGATTTAGGAGTAAAAAATAAATTTATTTTATTGAAGGGTAAATTTATAAATTTATCTTCTAGATCTCCTTTAAAATTTTCAACTTGAAAGGGAATATTCCGTCAGCTACAAAAGTTGTGTTATTAAAATATTTCCTCCACCTCCCTTTCCATTTGTGTATCAACTACTTCCCATTACCCAAAAACTGAAGTAGCCCCTACTCTCCGTCTGCCTGTGCTGTGCGTTTCCATCTGCCAGTATGCTCAGAAGAGGGTTAGGGTTCGTTTCTCCATTTTATATTTTAATCTCTGTAGTCTGTACCTTTTCTTTCTCTTTTTTATCTTTAAGGTCCGAGATCCGACTCTTCTTTGATCTTCAAGCTCAGATAACAAATTTACATGGCTGTCCTTGTCCCCAAATTCTGTACCTCCTTAACTTTGCAGCTTTCAATGCCCCTTTTTCGTTTTGGTTTTTCTTTTCTTTCTTGCTTCTTAACATTACCTGTGAAATATCAGTTATGATCTCATGGCTGTCACTTAATTGAGATTTGAGAGTTTCCAACTTGGCCACGTGAATGTCAATTATATATAATTTATTTCTTGGTCTTGGTCCCTTCTATAGGGTATCACCAGCAGTTTAATACAGCTTTTTAATATTCTTTTTGCTATTGCGCAAACAGTAAAAATTTGTCCATTTCAAGTGATTCTCTTGCTCAGAGCTTAAACAGGGGATTCTCCACCGAGACTGGAAGGTATGCCATCGAATTTCTCCTTCCTTTATGCTTAAGTAATAAACCATTTATTGATACTGAACAGAGAACAAACCTGTTTCTTCAGAATTTACTTAGCACTCAGAGGATGCCACAAATATATATTCTATATATATGATATATATATATATATATGATAATATATAACGCAATAGTGTAGACACAAGTATAGAATTCTTAGAGATTTTTCAATTAAATATTATTATATACGTAACAAAAATGTTTTTTAATACACAAAGAAGCAATCGCCGGCCTTTTTTTTTTTACATTTTTTTATTGTTTTATTCGCACTTATATTCCACTTAGTCATTAGGGGAATAATTGAATATTTGAAGGTCATTGTCTTCATGGTGATTAATTTAATGAATCTCAATTTAGAAGAATTGACCATTTGTTACTTAGCATTTGGCTGCTTCCCTTGCCTTATCTTGAACTGGGAATTACCTTGGCCCACCCTTAACTCCACCATGATACAAATGATCCCTAAAACACGAAAGACAGACATAAGAGTTCAGAATTTGCACTGAGTTGTAAATGGCGAATTGGCAATAGAGATGGTAATCAAGTGGAAATTATGGTCTTACATTAATTAATGACAAAACTAGATCCATTCTTGTTATAGTCTTAAACCAATACAGACTTTGGACTAAGTTTTTATTATCTGTGGGCAAAATATTGCACGGGCATTTAGATGTGCACTGCAAATTAATCGTTGAAATACAAGAATACATCTTTACTCTTCGTTACACTTAAGAAGGAAGATTTTAGTTTGCATTCGGTAATTAGAATCTTTTGTTATATTTGTGTGATAAAGAAAGCTAGAAGGAAAGGTAGCGCTGATCACTGGAGCAGCAAGAGGCATAGGAAAAGCAACTGCTGCAAAATTTATCGACAATGGTGCCAAAGTTGTTGTAGCTGATATCGATCAACACATTGGTGAAGAAACAGCAAAAGAACTTGGAGCCAACGCCGCTTTCATTGCTTGTGATGTCACTAATGAATCAGATATCTCTAATGTTGTTGATTTTACAATCTCTAGACACGGCAAACTTGACATCATGTACAACAATGCAGGGGTAGCCTGCAACACTCCCCCAAGTATTGTGGACCTTGACCTTCAAGTTTTTGATAGAGTGATGGGCATCAACATGCGAGGAGTGGTAGCTGGGATCAAACATTCATCTCGTGTGATGATCCCTCGTAGAAGTGGGTCCATTCTATGCACAGCCAGTGTAACAGGAGTAATGGGTGGGCTAGCACAGCATACATACTCTGTCTCCAAGTCAGCTGTTATAGGAGTTGTCAAGTCTATGGCAGCTGAGCTAAGCAGCTACGGAATCAGGATTAATAGCATATCACCTTTTGCCGTTCCAACTAGATTTGTGCTGGAAGAAATGAGTCGGCTTTATCCTGGTGTTGATGCTTCGCGATTTACTGAAATGGTTCAAAATACTGGGGTGCTAAAAGGTGCAAACTGTGAACCCATTGATATAGCTAATGCTGCACTCTATCTTGCATCTGACGACGCCAAGTATGTTAGTGGGCATAATTTGATGGTAGATGGAGGTTTTACATCGTTTAAGACTTTTAAATTCCCTGCACATGCACCTGATTCGGTGCAGTAGAGTTAATTGTCAAATGCTATTAGAGGAATATTGCAATCACAAACACAGCCTTCCACTTAAGGATGTAATTTAGATTGCCCATGATGTCTTACTGCAAGTCCTAGAACACCATTAGGTGAAATCATATTCGTTTTCTACACCTTATTCCTATCAAGTAATTTGGCAGAGCCATTTCAACACCAGCTCAATTATTTTACCAAGTTTAGAAAGCAGTCGTCTACAAATAAACATTTTATTTCTTGGAAAACTATTAAGTTCAGAATTTTCAGGTGAAAGTTTCAGCTAATCATCTCGAAACAAATATTCTCATAGTATTTTCAATTGTTTCTGGAAGTGTAAAGGCAATTTATATGTTTTTTGATATCCAATCATTCTTCCGTTTGAGGAAATATTCCATTTACTTTTAAGCGAGTGATGCATGTAATAACCAATCTAAAGATTTACGGCTTCTGATAAATGATATTTTGTTAATTATTTAAATAGTGCAAATACTCAGGAGTTTATCCTTTCTTGCACAAAAGACAAATATCAAAACACGGTGACCGTCATGCTTTCAAATTATTATTTGTTGTTAGAATTTACAGTACTCTGAACCACTTTGATACATGTCTGATCATTTTAGGAGACTTAAACTAGCATTCAATTTGCAGGCTATCAGAGCTGCTATTTTTATACTACAGAGGATATTGTGAAGAAATTTTTGCCAACATATCTCATCCTTGTCATATAAGTGAGCTAACCATCAGAATTGATCTAGCACAAGCTTGCGCATGTAGGATTCTGCATCTGCAAAGGAATGGAAGCAAAATGTTATACAGGGTAGATTGTTCCTACCGTTAATGGAAAAGACCAATGAAAAGTCTAAATTTGCTAGCTAGATATAGGACGAGATAAAGGTTCCAGTAAGAAGATTGATACCTAAGCCACCAGTGAACAGTCTAAATTGACCGAGGGCCTGCCTGATGAACATCTCAACCCCGCTCACCACAGTGGCCCCAACCTCTGCAGCCTCCTGCAAGAGTCTTGTATTTCTAGGTGTATAGACCGCATCAAACACCAACTCATATGCTTTTAAGGCCTCCTAAACAAGCATAATAAGTGAAGGGTTTATTGATGGCTGTGTGAATTGAAAGTATATAATGCAACAGAGAGCGAAAGACTTGAGTCAAAAACCTTCGGAAGAGGACTTGTATTTGAATCTGGCTCCATTCCAATAGCAGAAGCATTTGCAAAAATCATGCCTTTCTCTGGGCAGAATTCGTGTAAACATTCAAATGGCAGTGCTTCCCCTGAAACTGCATGTGCAAGAGCCTTTGCTCTCTCTTTTACAGTAAAATACAAGACATAGTTAGACGCAAGAAAACTGCAGGAGGGGAAGTTTAAATTAAACTATAGTACTTTTATAGCTTATCTTACCATACTTGCGGTTGAAAATAACAACCCGAGCCCCTTTGATTTTGGCCCCAAAAGCCAATGCTCTTCCTGCACCTCCTGCTCCAACCAGCACAAAAGTTTTCCCCGCTAGTGGAGAAGTGTCTGATGCCACCCCTTTGCTAACTTGTTTTTCTGTTCATCCCATGCAAATGCATGAGCTATTTATCTTTTTAATTTGATTCTCTCCCATATTCTATGAAAAGGCTTTCAGAACAAGTTCTATAGTAGATCAGGTTTGAGACGTTTTTAACTATCCAATGATACCGGAATGTAAATGAATGACTTTACTGGATATATAGCAAACGAAAAAATAAATAAATAAAGGCAGATAGTTAATTATTGATGTGCCCCTCCCCAGAAGAGTCTTTAATCCTTTGCTCATCATATGACATTATGAACTCAAATCTTTAAAGAATATTGTATCTCATCGCAGTCAATTAGCATAGAATTATAAAAATTAGAAATTTCTCAGATGCTACCTCTTAGAGCATCCTCTATTGCAGAAATTGAAGCATCACAATCTGTGTTGTAACCGATCAGCTTCTGGTCAATAGGCCTCCTTATGATGGTATTTACAGCTCCTATGGACTGATCACAAAGCATCCCAAAGTTCAGAAGATTATATTTGTTAACATCTTATATATCATATTTTCAGAGTAACATATAATCAATTCACTCGGCATGAAACTAAAGTTCTTTTATGCTATTCATCATCCTGTATCTAGGTCCACTTGGTAGTTTATGTGAAGTTGAAACCTTGAGTAATCACATTCACAGTAAAAGAAGAAATTGTCACAATTCTGGATTTGAATGAACACAGTTTTATACTTTACCAATCTATGGCCCCACACACAAAAATTATAGAAAGGCAGTTGAGAAGGATTTGATGATGAAAACAATCTTATATACAAGTTGACAGAGACAGACCTTAGCCAGTGGATCAACTTCATCACAGCAAGCCACCGCTGCTTCCTTATGTGGAATGCCAACACTACAAAATACGCCAATTAGTTAGAAAGAACAAATAATCCTTCTAATCTAAGGAAATGCTATCCCAATTTTGCTCTCTTAATATTGTGTACCTGAAACCCGCAAAGTCAGTTGCTGTATAGGTTTTAAAAAACTCTTTGACATCATCAACGAGCATGGGAACATAAATTCCATTATATCTGGTATGTCTGAAGGTGGGATTGTGCAGAATGGGGCCTTTACTATGGCCTACTGGATTTGAAACGAGCCCAAAAACTTTTGTGTCTGCGTCCACATTTTCAACCTTATACACTTGTCTAAGGCTGACAAGAGTAGGTAAGCCCGCAACTGATTTGCCTGCCAGAGATCCATACACTAAAAACCCACCAAATTTTGGAGCCAGTATCTGGCTTATTAGACCTCGACTGCCCACCGCCAAAACTATTAATGGTACCTGAACATAGGGAACACCCGGAATGAAGTTGGTTGCATTGAGGAATAAACAAAATAATACAATTACTTGAATTACTTAGCCGTGATACATAGCATTTTCAGCCTTAAAAATGATAATTAATTATCCCTATCAATAATTTCTCCTTCAAAATCAATTTTACAGTTTGTCCAAATTAATGACAGGTTTAAATATATTGCCAAGTGCGTAAATATGTTTGTAATTTTAATTAGCATATGTAAACCTGGCAATGAGTAAGCAGCTGAAAAATGGGTGCCAAATCCGTGATGAAGTCCACAGCAATTTCAAGTTTTATAACAGCTGCTCCGATTGACTGAATGGATGCAATTAGATCACCAAGTTTCTCTGTCGAAGGTTTGCCACCATTCACGTAGCTTGACACAATTACTTTGCTATGTGGTCGATTGTGCATATATTCGCTCATGCTCTTATCAGAAGCTACCTGCAATTAATTAAAGTTCAGATTATTAATATAGTATTTGCTGGTCCGATAACTTCACCGTTGCCGTACTCTAGGAAAATCCCATCGACAGTAGAATTAGACAAAGATGTTCAATGTATAGCTCCAATATTGATTAAAGAGTTATTTGTGAAAGTAGAGTGGAAAAGTACCTCATAGTCCATTTCCACAAATTCGACCTCTAAATCCAGAGCCCGTTTCAATACTTGCATGCAATTACTCTTGCAGTCTTCGTTGGATGAATTGAGCCTGCCAATTGCATTCAACTATATTATGAATCCATTGCATGGTCTTTTCATTTTTGTTTTTGGAGTGCCCACATATCAACTTATTAATTTTTTTATATCTAATAACAAGTTTAAAAGTACAGTACTTATAAATATTTAGAATGGTAGATGGAATATTTTTGTAGGCCCATGCTTTCTCAATAATTGCACGAAACTTTAAAAAGTAGTGTAAGGTTTGGTATGAATTGCAGCTGATAACTTATCATACTGCATAAGTCATGACACATATATCAAGCTCTTGTACTCACCATCGCCTCCCTCTTCAACAAATTAACCAATCTTCCTACCTACGGTTCTCTCCTTGTTCACTAAAAATCACCTATACTAGTGTGATTGTTTTGACATATATTAAAAATCACTTCCTACCTGCTACTGTTTTGACATATATTAAAAATCACTTCCTACCTGCTACTGTTTTGACACTCTTATACGAATTTCAATGATAAATAAACCAAGATGGTTCAATGTTCATAACTTTAAACGCACCAGATTCAGAATGCCACTGAAATTCTTGGTCATAAATATATATTTTCTTGGTTTTAAATAATCTCTTTCTCTACACTTGTTGTAACTATGATGATGAGGCACATACTTTGTCGAATGACAATACACAGGGAAAAAAAAAAAAAAAAAAAGCGTGGAGAAGTAGAATGAAATTTAGCGACAGGATAGTTTTTAAATGAGATGTAGGCTAATGCATAACCTGGCTTCATTATCTGAAAATGCTCAAAAAATGGTATTTAAAAACATAATAAAGTATAAATGAAATATATATGTCATAATATGTGTAGAGAAAGAGATCATAAGTTTTAATAATGAAATATAGCAAGGAAGAAGAAGAAGAGGGATGCAAGAATGTTAGTTAATAGAACTGGACCTGTAGGAAAGTATAGTGGGCAGAGTTTTTTCGTTGAGGAGGTTGTCAACCTGAGAAATGTGAGTGAATTTCATGGCATGAAAGCAAAGTTCTACAATATCTGCACCTTCAGCCTTTGCTTGCTCCATGGAGCTTAACATTTCTTCCACTGTTTCGCATTCAAGCTGTGTGCACACTAAGACATTTTTCTTGGCGTCTGCCATTTTCAGAGCTAGGCTAGGGAGAGAGACAAACAATTGTGATAAAACAAAAGGTACGGTTGTGGTTTCTTGCTCTCTTTGTAGCGAACCATTTTTCAATATTGCATTTCATAATTATTTCTTGAATATTAGATATGATTCAACTACTTTTTAACTATTTTAATAATTCATTTTCTCTGTCTCTATGATTTTAACTATTTTGTTTTTTTTTATGACCAGGACGTCCAGATTAACTTACGTGCACCTCAATTAATTCTTTAAGACTCTGAAACTACCGATCAGATTAAAATTCTAGTGGTCACTCCTAATAGGGGTGGTGGAGACTCAATCCCGGGAGATCGTGTTATTAGATCTTTCTCTTTTACTTTTACCATTAAAAAGACTCAAACTTGGGAGACCATATTACCATCAAGTCATCAAATGATAGTTGTAATTATACAACTTTCTCTATCTCATAAATAATATAATATTTTAAATTTCCTATATACGGTGTTACTATAAAATCAGTTAATTATTAAATATGTATACAGTCATGAGATTTTAAATTTCCATCTTAAATTGGTGCGTATATAAACGTCATATTTATAATAAGAAAAAAGACATCTTTTTCACATCATTCTATAACTAATAATCACATAAATGGAAGTTCAAGGTTTGTGATATATTCAAATTATGTAATATAATATTATTTCAAAAATAAAAGCAGTAATGTTGTATACACAATTGACAGTACTATGAATAACATGTATATGAATGTAGAAAGGCAGCATAACTGCATAAGTGGCAGTGGCACTGCGTGACTTGCATAAAAATGGACAGGGACTGGTTTCTCTGGTCCAGACTCTAATAATTTCGAGAACATGGGAGGTACCAGGGGGACCTATTAAAATAAATTCAAGATGAATGACAATTTCTTATCCAAAATTTGCCATAATTACATTTTCCCAAACGTAAACTTTGAGAAAAATAATTTCCCACCCATAGTCATTCAATAAGATTTGTTACCTGATGCTGACAAGGGTAAGGCTGCGAAAAGATTATAATACATTTTATTTTATACTCCCCCCCTGTTTCTTTATAACTGTTGTTTTGAAGGTATTAACTTTTTTCAAAATAAATTACGTTGTTTTTTCTCTTATCCACATCTCCTTTCTTTACTCTGCCCCTCATCTCCTTTCTCTCCACTTTTTTCTATAGCCCACGTCTTCTCTCTCTCTCTCTATCTTTTCCCCTATCTCTTTCCTATTAAATTATTTCATTATTTAACACATGTGTGTGGGAAAAACAAAATTTCCCACTCACAATATCAGAGGAAAAAGCCAAATTGAGGAAAAATAAAATTGATTCATTAAAAAGTGTGCAAACGCTTGTCAGTTATATAGAAATGGAGGGAGTAATTTTTAACAAGGATGAACAATATTTTCCCACCTAAACTTTGTTAAATGTAATTTTTAGTTTTCACCCCTAATTTGGTTTATATTAATTTTAGGGTTAATAAATGTAAAGAAAAAAAAAGTCATTTATTAAAATAAAAAATTTGGAAAAAAATTAAAAAACTGAAAAAAAAAAGTGGTTTGGAACCAACGGTTCTGGCCAAATCGTACTCGGCCAGCTAGGTGTGATTCTGACCAACTTTTTTTTTTTTTTTAGCTTTTTAATTTTCGGATTTTCCTTGTTTTACAATTTTTCAGTTTTTGGGAAATTATATTTTTATATAATTTCATAAAATATATACAATTTTAATAAAATATTGTTTTGTAGTTTTATAAATATTTAATTGACATCTATTTTTTTTTTATAATTTTTAAAAATAATATTTAAAATTTTAAATTTTTTTTAGAAACATACATACTTTAAAAGTGAAACCTCCATTGCAATTATAAAAATTAAAGATAAGACATAAATAGTTAATTTCCAAGTTGGTGAAGGTAATTGTTCTGTATTTGTAATATAAGGGTGTAAATAACATTAACCTTGTAACATATATTGTGAACTTATAATAATTGTTATGGGTGTAAGTAACATTAACTTTTATAATATGTATTTTGCAAGCTGACAATTATACATTTTTAATATTAAAACTACCGTAACGATGGTAGGAAAATGTCACACTCTAAATTTAATAAATTCAATAAGAGCAAACGACATGTTCCCACGCAAGGTAAAGCGAAATGCCAAGTTCCCACCCTTAGTTTCATAAATCTCATATTCGCACCTTTAAACTAACGGAAAATTGGTTAATATAACAGTGAAATGGTAGAATAGTCATTTCCAATTTTAGATCCAAACTGAAAATGAGCCGCCACCAAAACCACTCATATAGCCATCACCACCGCCACAAACCACCACAAATTACATAGACTTCCAACCCAAATCAGTCGATCATCATACAAAACAAAGAGAAAAGAGAAAATGGGAAGGAAAGAAAATCGCTAAGCATCAATCTCGATGGTTTGTAAAATAAAGAGACAACATGTCTTTTCTCCTTTCCTTCAACCTCCTTGCTATCTCCCTCTAATGATTGATGAAAACAATTTTTTTGGGTGGTTTCTCTTCATCATTTGTCTCTCCTGCACTACCGATTCAAATTATTTCTTAATTTAGCCATGCCAGATGAACAACTTTAGAGGTGTTCATCATATGCAGCGTTCAAAATCTGATCTCATTGTGTTATTATCGGCTACCAACTCAGCAACCACTTCTCCAATTTCAACTTGATCCAAATTTCAATTTGGCAACCCAGGCTTCCCTTTTTTGCACTAATTCAAAAGCCCCAGCCTCTCTGTCACGCCCCTTAATAAAAGCCCCAGCATCCTGACATCTGGTCATTCGTCGAATGCCGTCCATTGCCCTTTTGGTTGTTGCGCAAGACTGTCACGATTGAGAGCTAATTGGAGTTTTTTTGGAAGGATTTTGATTGTATTTGGAGTCCTTTGCTGTTGTGGATTGATTGTACAAATTTCTCAACCAATTTCCCTGTTGCTAGCCACCAATCCACCTGCCTTTGAAACACGCCCACAAACTATTAGATTTTTTGCCCCAACCAACAAATCTCGGCGTTGACCATGATTTTGGACATCCACCACCTCTTGGCCAGGAGATACTGGTTGAAATCAGCTCCTGACTTGGCGATCTCGACCGAGATTCCTGGCCAACGGTGGTTGAGGTGGAGGCAAAGAGGAGGTGAAATTTTTTTTTGAGATAAGGGTTAAATTTTGAGATACAGGGTTATTTTCTAATTTTCCTAATTTGGGGTTAAAAGTAATTTGTAAATTTATTTATTAAGGGTGGTATAGTAATAACACTTTTTTTACATATGTTAAAACTTTAAAATGGGTAACAGTATTAATTTAAGGTGGAAATATGAAATTTATAAAAACAGTGGCGAGAACTTAACATTTCACTTTACCTTGGGTGGGAACATGTCGTTTGCTCATTCAATAATGGATGGGGATATGGCTATGGGGCCCCGCCTGATTATTTATTAACAGGAAAAAACAATGACATTTGATTTGATGAAATATTAATTCAACTAATTTTGCACACAATACCATGAGTTACACGTGTATGAATGTAGAAACTGGCAGCTTGAGTGGCAGTGCGAGACTTCCAAAAAAAGGATAGGTACTAGTTTCTCTGGTCCACACTTTCAATAATTTCGGGAACGTGTGGGGGGTAGTATTAATAATATGTATTTTGCAAACTGACAATAATACATATTTAATATTAAAACTACCGTCTGAATTCAGCGATGGTCGCTATATGTCACACTCTGAATTTAATAGATTCAATAATGGATGGGGTATGGCTGCCTATGGGGCATGGGCCCCCACCTTATTAATAGGAAAAACACATTGACATTTGATATGATGTAATATTAATTCAACTAATTTTGCACACAATACTATGAATTACACGTGTATGAATATGGAAATTGGCAGCATGAGTGGCAGTGCGTGACTTTCCATAGGAAAATAGGCGACATTTGATTTAATGTAATATTGACATTAATTCAATCATTCCAATTTTGTCTGAAGTTATTAAAATTAGTTTATAAATAATAAGTATTTATAAAAAAAAATTAATTTATAAATATTAAAAATTTTAAATAATTATATATTTAATTAGAGTATTTATAAATGATTAATAAATAGTTGACGTGTTTGATAAAATGTGACTTATAAATATATTTTATTATAAAATGACTAAAAAATATATTACGTTAAACAAGGGTATATTATGAAATTTTAAAATTAAACAAGGATAATGTAGTAATATATTTGGTCAAACTAGCTCATAAACATAAAAAAAAAAAAATACCTCCCTTAAATTTATTTTTTTGGCTTATTCAAAAAAATTATAAACAAACAAATCAGTTTAATTTTAGAGCTTATAAACTAGTTTGACAAGCTTATAAGCTTAGACAAACATCTCCTTATTATGTTAATTCATGAGATTGAGATACGACTCTCGATTCTCCCTTTCTGTAAAATGTAAATTAGTGATTGATGACTGACCAACGACGTTTACCTTGATGAGTAGTAATAGTAAATAGTAACTCTGTCCTCAATATAACAATGAATAATACTATATTTATAATTAAATCATACAACCATTAAAAAAATAAAGAATAAAATAGTTATTTTACATAAATTTGGTGTAATTTTTATTTGATTATATAACTTAATTATAAACAAAACATTGTTGATAGTATTAGCATTTGTAACAGATAATCCCATCTAATTGTCGTCTTTACTTATCCTAAAAGATTAAAAATACAAAATTTTAATTATGATGGGCAAGAGATTTGATTGGGACCAATAAATCAATTATTTCACCTAACGCCACTCTATGGATAGGGATCCACAAATAATCCCATTCAGTAGCCTCAAAGAAAATTGCTAAAACCATAAAATAGAAAATTTTAAATATAATGTTTATTTGTTAGAATAAAAATCATTTTGTTCAAGTTTAACATGCGCAAACATTTAAGGCAATATTAAATAATGACAAGTACCAGTCCAAATATGAAGTCGGTATTGATCTTGTGCAGTAGTGAACAGAATCCTAGAGCTCCCACCAGTCAGACAGGGTAAATTTGAAGATTCACGTGTGTCACATTCACAACAACACAACACCGCTTAATACAAAAGGAAGGGCCGGTTAGCATGTGTAATTATGAAACGATAGGGATATGAAATGAAACCATTGAAAACTTAATTTCCTGTACCGTCCAGCTCCTCCTAGTATGGTAGATGTTCTTCCTTCAACTAACCATACAAGTTTCAACACTAAAAAGTCTTCAATGCTACATCATTCAATCAGCATTCTAAAGATATATAAATGATTCTCGATTTATTAGTTGAATTCAACATTTCTTATGACAATGCACCATGGATACAGTTCCAAAATCGACTCAATTACTGCTAAGAAGATTGTCAGCTGCATATTCTCTCAACATGCCTCGAAGAATCCTGAACCATCTGGAGGGAACAGAAAATTCTCACCTAACCTCCAACTCATTATACTTACCGTTCACCAACCAGATCTCAATCCATGATCTTGAAAGAAAGTTTCTAATATATGTGCTACATGATCTAATGGTGTATAAGAAATCTTAGCCTTCGGAGTAAGTATTGGCACTTTCATACAATGGCCTATGATGAAAATGGCATACCATTGGTGATAAGTTGCATAATTTGAGTGTTTTTAGGGTTCTTTTGATGTTAGTTTAGTTAATTTCTCATTTTTTTTTATTTGTTTTGGTCTTAATTTTTCTTAAGTTTGAGATATGAATGGTTAACTATTGATTTGGATAGCTTTTGTGTTTTTCAGGCTTTGATTGAGTAGATTGGAGCATTGGAATGAAATTGAGACTTAAAATTTGAAGAAGTTGAGACTACCTAACATTCTTGAAAGCCACGGCTATGCTTTGGAGGTTCACTATGGCTATGGTGGTGAAATTAAGATAAAACAAAGAGACCAGAAAACACCACGGCCGAAGCTGTGGTGACTTAAATTTGGCCACGACCAGGCCGTGGCGGAAACTATTAGGGCGTTTTTGTCAGCTTTTCTTTCCTTTTTTCACTTAAGACTCTTTTGAGTATTTAAGTATAATTGAGATTAGTTGTCAAGGGAGGAATTTTGCATATTTTGGAGAGAAGAAGACGCATTCTTGGGGTTTGAAGATTGAAGATTAGATTTAAAAGTTTGATTTTTATTTATTTTCAAGTCTAAATATGTTTTCCTTCTTCTCTATTTATTTCTTTGTTCTTAGAATAACGTAAATCTCTTTTGTTAGGAGAGGATGAAACCCTGATTATGTTTTGAACAATTTTTATTCTTAATACCAGATTTATGTTTATGAATTTGTGCAAGAGTTTAGGTTTAATGCTTTATAAATGTTAGATTGATTCAATTACCCTAATGATGTTTCAAATAGAGAAGTTAGGGTTTATTACTTAATTCATATTCATAATTGTTTTATTGGAATAACATTGCACAATGTACTAAAAATGGAAGTAATCAAATAGAGATTTTATAATTAATTTTTGGTTTACCTAATTCATAACCGAATAGGGTGAATTAATCGTAAGAGATTGATGAATTTATGTTTCTTAATTTCAGAGTAACCGAATAGAGATCTGTATTAAGTTGAATATTATGCCTGAATAAGGATAATTGACCTTAAAAGAATTCCACAAATTCATAGCATAAACGGGTATTAAGAGTAGTTGTCAAGCATAATTAAAGGAAAATATGTACCCTAACTTCATTAATACTGCAAAGTTCTTCACATTATTTATTTGTTTAATTTATTTATTTTTAATCCGTTAGTTTTACACTCTAAAATTTCATTTTTTCAAATAATGTGTAGGTAGTTTTAAGTAATTACGAATATTTACTTTGATCTCTGTGAGACGATACTCAAACTCATCACTTTATTACTTGAACACGACTAATGCACTTGTTAGAGTTGATTTAGTTGCATCGATTATTAACATGCATCACATTTCTCAGTGACATACATTTATGTGTTAGGCATTATAGCTTAGATGATGACTTAGCATACCTTACTGAGATAATTTCAAATATTTAAGCTCCGTTCGGTTCATTATTAGGTAGTTTTTAGAATAATCTTTTGAAAAAAGTTAAATTGGATGGGTATTATGATGTAAAATTTTGAAAATTAACATAAATACCCCTATGTTTATTTATTTACTAAACACCTCTATAATAAAATATTCAAAGTTAACAAAAACACCTCCAATCCACTCATAAATACGGACAGCCGGCCACCACCGCCAGAGGATGGCCGGAGTTGCCTTATCGGCGCATGACCGGCTCGATCTTGCCGGTCGTGCGTCGATATGGCCTTTTTCGGCCAAATCCATCATGGATCTGACCGAAAAAAGGCAAGATTTGCGGCTAGATCTGGCCATTGATTGCCAGATCTGGCCGCATTTGGTCATCAACGACAGCCGTCGTTGACGATTGTCTACGGCCAAAGATCTAACCATTATATCAGATTCCGATCAGCTTACGACAATGGTGGTCGAAATCTGGTAAATTTGGGTTACTGGGGTGTTTTTGTCAATTTTTAAAAAAAATTTTGGGGGTTGTTTGGTTTAACAAATTTAGGGGGATTAAAAGAAATTGAATAATTTAGAAAACTTTTTTGAAAATAGGTGAAATAAAGTTAACTTTTTTGGGAAAATTAGAATATGTGAACCAAACAAGCCTTATTCTTCCATGTCAATGCACTTATCATTTTTATCTTATTATTAACATGATACTGAGGCTGATTTCTAAAGTAGAGCTATTACACCAGAGATCAAAATACGTAATGGTCATGAACAGGGGAAATATTGTTCCATGCGTGACATTAAGTAAAGGAATATTAACTACAAAAGGGGCAGGATGCAGTAATAAATCTAGACAGTTACTTCAATAAATTGAACCTGGCTAAACAACTATGCGTGCTCTATGCGTTGGACAATCAAGTTCACTGCTGCATTTGCTGATGAGAATGCACCATGAAAGCTTTCTTGATAGGAAATAGATTCCAGTTCATAAGCCATCTTCAGCAAAATCTCACCTAGGTCTGTTTGTTTGTCTAGCAATGATTCATAGAATGAGCGAGCAGCAACCTTACTAATCTCCACATTGGTTGGCTCGGGGCAGTACTCATCGTCCAACCATTTATGCAATGCAACCCTAAGCCACTCTGATTCCTGCAAACCTAATAATTAGTGCGACCACAATACAACTAACTCTCCACAGTCCACATACTTTTTTTCTTTTTCAACCACAAATTCCTAAACACGAATGTGCCCACGAGCATACACAGACAATAGTTGAAAATTAGCAATCGTCAGGGAGGATTATGAATGTTTTATTAATTAATTCCATCCAATTAAACCAGAGCTAGGTGGCATTCAGCCCATGTTGAAAGATAAATTTTTAAGATATGCGTGTAAAATTAAATTAGAGGCAACCAAAAGAAATAAAAGCATCTATAGTAATGCAATTGAATGAAAATTTAAACTGAAAAAAGAAAGAAACCTCTAAAGCTTTGGAAGGGAGGAACCAATGGTCTGGCACGCTAAGTTCTTGAACCGGGGAATCTGGGAGTTGCTGTTCTTCATTGGATGGTGGAGTTGAAGAAAATCGAGAAGATGTAATGGTGGGTAAACGTAAAGATGGTTTTAAGGGGAAATTTGGTAGAGAGGAGACGGGGAAATGAAGGGGAGGACGGACTATTGAGGTTGAGTTTGAGATGATTGCAGTGGATGCCCAAGACATAATTAGACATTTCATACCTTTGCTTCTTTGTTGACAGATTTTTAGGAGGGAAATTGTTGATGGCGGGAATTAGGGGTGGAATCTGATAGGATTCTGATTTCTGGGTTAGGAGATATCGCTAGGGTTCAGCATGAGTCAGTGAGACTGTGACGACATGAAATAGTGCCGTTTTACTTTTTCTTTAGTTAAAACTTAAAAGTATGTACACCACAGAAATTATACTGGCCCTCTCCTGAGGCCTACTGTACTTTCGTTAATTAAATAATGGATGTGTAAAAATAACAATTTTGTTCCTTTATGAGTTACGAATTCAAGAAAATATTTCTCTGGTTATTTAAAAGGCACATCTCTTATTATATTGTCCACTGAAACAGAGAAAGTATATAATTGTTTTCCACATCTTAGGAGTGCTAAGTGTATTCAATTTATATTTGTAAACTGAAATAAATGTTTTGCCTTGTTATTTAAGATCTTGACTAGAACCTTGGTCATACCAGGGATAATCCCAGCAATATCACAACTGAGAGAACCACCTAAATAACTTAGAGCCAATGTAGAAGATAGTAAAATGAGGATATTTGTGGAGAATGATTCATATAAGTAGACAAACCACCTTTATTTAAAAGAAACATATAGATATAGTTATTTATCTAGTTGTCTGATATGATATAAAGCACACAAAAACTGTTTTCACACATTAAAATTTGCATACGATTGCCTTCTAAGAACAACAGTTAGGCAATGCATCACAATTTTAGGTACATATAACTGCATTCATATAAAATGCACTGATATATGCAAATCTGCGCAATTGACCTCAATTGTTATGATTATGAAGGAGGTGTTGGATTTGGTGAGCTCGCATTCGGCTCGATGTCTTACTTTGGGCATATCAACATTCGTCGTACCGCACACAGAAATTCCCTGCGCTTATAACATCACACAACAAATCAATTCGCCGCTAAATTTTCACATCAACAACATCCAACCACAAATACAATAACACCAGGTTTTGCTACTTAACTGCCATGGGTAGTCTCCAGCTACCATCATGTCCCCTTCATAATCCATGTAGGTAACATGCCACCCGCTGCTTCCGTCAATCAGACTTCCCTTGAAATCAAACTTCTTGTCAAGCTCACACAGGAGTTCTTCATACCCGTCAAATTGTGTAAGATCAACAGATCTTCCAAGAACAGTTCCATACTTGAGCACCTGGAACATAAGCAGACAGTATTCTTCCGATTATTACTATATGAAGAAAAAAGAAAAATCTACTGACCCATGCCAAGGGTGCTCATGGAAGCAATTTTTAAGGAATTAAAAATGTTATGGTGGCCTGACTTCATACACTTGCGATCAGGAACAAATTAGTTTTCGGCCAACTGTCCATGTAGTAGATATATTTGTGTCTAATATTAATCATTGGCACGCATAAAATTGCAAGAACTATGAAGTCATTAAACAGTAATCTAAATATTTACTCCTGAAGCCTTTGTTCCTTTTAAGTTGCTTCTAAACTCACTGCAAAGGTGTACCTTGGTGCAACTCCTGAAAGAATGGCAATTCTTGCATTGCATTTCTGAAGGGTTGCCGGATACACTCTTAGATGGGTCTGAAACCTGGATGGTTTCAGAAACACTTGACTGAGATATTGGAGGGATAGAACCATGACTTTCAAGCTCAGTGGAATTGGCAACTTGTGGTGAAGGGAGCTCCGGTGGACTACATTTAAATAAATTGACTCCAAAAAGCATGTATCTGCTGCAATCATTTGGTGGGGCAAGTGGAGTTCCATTTTCATCCCTGAGTTCCAAAGCCCTCCAATCCTGAGAGCCGGAATTCAGAGAGTTGACATCAGGAACTGACAAGTTTTTGCTTGATACAGCGTTGTCATGAACTCCATAAGGTGCGATCATTGCGGGCCAGTGATTAGGAATACCCGAGCTTACTATGCTTCCACCGGGACTTGACTCTGCACTGCTGGGACCTCGATAAAATGGAGAATGCATCGGAAATTGCAGCTTATTCTCCGGCCCTAATTGCATATGGGCCCAATGTGGATCTGGTGGGGGAACAAAATATGGTAATAATGGTAGTTTTAGTGCGTCCAATTGCTTAACACCTGTTATCCTGCTTTCTTGACCTTGCAAGCCCCCTGAAGGAATTTGAGGTAATTGCTCAGCTTAACTTTGGAAAAAAAAAAAAAAAAAAAAAAAAAAGCTCGTTAGAGAGTGAGATATTAGGTAAGGACTGCTGACCAATGCTAACAAAGGACGAGAATCCAGGTGATGTTGCATCAGTTGAACGCAGCCTCTTTATGCGGGGTAGAACAGAGGCAGGGTTCCTGTTAGTGCATTCTGTCATCGGCTCAATGTTCCAAGGTGAAACCCTTTCTGGGCGCGTTAATGTATCTGATCTGACATCCCATTTTACCTAAGAAGTAAAAATAACAATAATAAGCAGAAAAATAGCGATGCAACAAAGTGATTGTTGATCAGCATCTTGAATGGCATAAAACAACCGCTTACCTTGAGACGCCTCCATGCAGAATTAGGCCACCTATTTTGATCAATATCTCCAGCGCCAACAATAGTGCCAAATATTCTGGTTCAGGTAGTTACTATGTCAGTTCGGAGAAGCAAGAAAGACGCTTATTTCAACTTAACCAAAAATCTGTTAAAATTACTTTTACTAATCAAATCACTCTTCATTACAGTTTAAGTCATAGAAGCCTTCAACAAGTTTTTTTAACAGGTTTTACTATTACAGTGTTATTCCATTCCACTGGTAAATGTAAGAACATGAAATAAATTTAATTATAAAAAGTGAGAGCCTGAGGGTCAAAAAGGCGTGGCTTGCACCTCTGTTCTGCACATTCTTCATCTTCAATCGCCATTCTAAATCTTGTCCCAACAGAATAGTTGATTTCAGCAGACCTCATGTAATGATCAAAAGGTACGATGAATTCGGCAGGGCTTGACCTGAAAAAGTTGAACCAACAACATCTTGTTTGAATTCAGTAATATGACTGCAGGACTGTTTATCTTCTACACATATTTATTTTCTAAAATTTTTGCTGCACTAACCCAGGAACAATCTCCAACTTACCAAGGACGGTAATAGACAGTAAACCTCGTCCCGGTAGAAATGGCATGAGAAGCAGTGGCAAGTATCCCATGTTGCATACTAGGGCCAGATATGATTGACGTTGGCATATTGTTCTGTAGTTTCATTGTGCGGCGAACACCGACACGAAGTTCCCCATTTTCTCCTCTGAATACAATTATAATCATTATGACTCCACATAAGAGTAGATTATTTTAACCAAAAACAACTAAATGGTACAAAACGTTCATCTAAACCATGTTTAAAGTCAACACGATGTACATAAACATGTATATACATGACTTGTTCATGCACATATAATATACCAAATTGAAAAGAAAATGTTTGGTGTTGAGACAATGATTTAAGTGTCTCTATGTTATAGTCTCCATGAAATGCAAATCAAATGGCAAAGTTGTATGTGTAAGCAAGAAGGGAGAGAGAGCGCGGAACCTGAGGAAGATACATGCATCTCCAGCAACAAGCTCTTTTGAAGTCACAAACATACTCCAACCACTGGTAAGCAAATGTCGCTTTGGCTGACCTACATTTATTGCAGCAAAATGAGCAGCAGTTAAACTAAGATATGTACCATGTTTATAGGGAAATTACATATGTTTAATAAAAGAAAAATGAAGTAGAAAGTGTTTTCCACATTGCATATAGTTATGATTATAAATGTGAAATGAACTAAAATACTGAAAAACTTTGGGCTTTGACGAAGAAATAGGAACGGAATTTCCTCTAAAATACAGCAGTGACTTCTGTCAATGAATGCGAGTAAACTGATCCAATTTCAAGGGAACATCCACATTGTTTTTGCAATACAATGAACAACTAAAAGTAATGGTTCTCTTAATTATTCCAGGCAAAGGTGTTTTAAGTCTATCGAAGGTGAGGTTTAAGTACCACGATATATATGCCGAAAGTGCCATTCATACCCATGCAAATCCTTTGCAACCAGTTGCTGTGCTGGGGGATCCTTACTCATGTCCTGCAGCATATAACATGTGTTAATGCAATGGGGCTTAGCCAAATCATTTTATGCATTCTAGTAATACAAGTGATCCCAGACAGAAAAATACTTCGATGTCGGATTCTACAAAGTACAGAACACTGGCATGATGCCAAGGAATTGTTTGTTGTATATCATTTCTATCAAATGATTTAACTAACTACCAGATTGGCGAGATTACAGGATTCTGTATTATTAGTGGACACAAAAGCAAGAGAATCCTAAATGAGCCTAAGCAGCTTTCCTGTGCATACCTCCTGTGGCCGTGAAACTTTCAGGAAGTAATGAGAAGAATTTACAAGGATACTAACCAGGGGCGGAAGGCACTCATCAGCATGTCGCTTTGGAACAGAGAATCCACCATGTGTACTGGTATCAGAGGGAGTGAGTTTCTTGCTAAAGGAACACACATTAACCTTTGAAGGTGAAGGCAGAGAAGTCGCATCTTCCAAGCTTGGCTCATCTTGCTGAAAGGAATTACCATCACACATGTATATGTTACACCCACATGTATCACATAAGCATTTGGAAACAAAATACAAATGAGTCATTTCAAGTGAAATTCGCATAGTTATTTCAATTAAACATTTACATAATAAGATTGTCATTGCTTTTAGAAAATTTTGAGGATCATCTAACCGTGAATGAGGTGGCATTAACTTTTAAAACTTGAATATAACCTTTATTTGCTTCATAAAGACCCCCCAAGAAATAAAAGTAAAGATACCGTTCAACAGTCAGAACAATTACGTATGAGACCTTCAAAACTTCAGTAACTAATTACCTCTGGCTTTGGAAGCAGAGTAATTTGAGCATATACCTCATCTGTACCAGCTTCCGCCTGCAACAACAACAAACCATCAAGAAAACGATGAAAAAGAATTTATATATTTACAAACTAACTTACAGTGTACTAAAGCCTTGAAATTTAAGTTGATGGTTATGGTGATATTATATGGATCAAACAGAAGTTTAAAAAAAAAAAGGATGTGCCTTTAGTTGAACATAGACAACTTCACAGAGAATCTTGGAAGGGACTTTGTAAATGGGCATTTCCATTTTACCATCTTCGGTCATGTATGCCTCAACCTGTAACAGATTTGAAAATATATATACATATTAAGACCAAATGCCAAAAATAAAAATTAAATAAAATTCATGAGCTGCACATATGGGATGTTTTGGTGACATAGGCTCTTGAATGAAATCATCCCATTATCCTTTAGATAGAAGTTGTGAGTAACAAATATAATTATGAGTAAAACAAAATATATGAATCTTATTTATGCTATTTTAGGAATACATAACATTACAGTTTGGCAAATAAGTCGTGATTTCTGTTTAGGATTTGTAATTATTGACTCAACTATTCTATGTAGTAAAAAAATCTGGAACCATTTCAACTTTCTAGACCATTTAACAAGAAAACCAAGCCACTAGGTTTCATACAAATTCATTTAAAAATGTAACTGTTACCTGTTCAATATGACCTTGAAGAAAGTAGTAAACTTTGTCCCCAGCACGTGGAACATAAACAAGTGGACCCGCGCATGCACGCCATAGTTCTGTATATAGCTCATCTTTCCCACCTGAAATCATCACCTTTTTTAACAACCGGCGAGGGACTATTAACTCATAGTTTTAATTGGTTAAAATAATAAGGAAAATTTAATTAAAGGAGCCATTATACTAATGAAATGATCGAGTACAAGAATGAAAATCCACTCTATTGATGATTAAGTGAAAATATTAGCAGCCGAGTTGGAAGGTCGTGGCCAATATTGTTACAGTTGATTCTGATGAAGAACTGCTCATTACCTCCGTATTATAAGTAATGATGAAAGAGCTTTCTCTCCTATTGGAATAGTAATTTCTTTTCTCTTCGCTTAAAAAATTTAAGTTATGAAACAGGAAAATATTTGAATATGAAACATCGCCATATACGCTGGAAAACTGATTGTACATGTTAACATCAATCATCACATATTTCATTGAAAATGTTTTATCGTTTAACATGGAAGGAGACAAAGGGTACTGTTAGCTGCCGTTATGTGTAAATTAATTTCTTTTTCAGAAGAAAACTAAATAAAATCAGAGAGGAATTGGTTTTTGACATCAAATCACCAACTAGTCCGGACTTAAAAAGGAAAATAAAAATAAAAATCACTGTAATAAAAATAATAATAATAATAATTAACGAAGAAAATAAACAAAGGCGTTACCATGGTTGTGGTCGGAAGGCAAAGCATAGTCCATACGTTTTCTGTTCTGAGAAGCCACCTTATCAGTCCTAAACCCTTTCCGTTCTCCACCCACACCACCCATCTCTCTCTTATTGTTAAAAAAAAAAAAAAAAAGTGATATATTGCAGAAGAAAACAAGAAACCCACAAAGGAAAAAAAAGCAAGCTAGGTTGAAATCAGAGAAAAGAGGAAATGTGTGTAGAAAGACAAAAGACAAAGAGTCCTTGAGAATCTGGTGTCCCGTGTCACTTTGGAGCACTCAATGTAGCATGCACTTTTATTCTCATCAATTCTGTTCACACACCACCTCTTTCTCTTCCCTGCTCTGTATATATAGCGTGATTTGCTTAATATTTTGTTGGTGCGTACTAACTGGTAACGTTTATTATGGGTGTTGTGGCGCAGACAATGCCGGGGGTCGATCAGGTGGATATGTCACTGTACCCCTCTGTAATTCTGACTCTCTCTCCCTCTTCTTTTCTTTTTCTCTGCTGGCTGTTTGGCTGGTCGAGTTTGCTACTTTGCACCGATATCTTCTATGCACTACTTTAATGCCTTCATGCACATCCTGACATGCATCATTCTAGCCTTTCCTATTTACTCTGTGGTCTTCTCCGCCTATTTTTGCTTTCTTTATATTAACTATTTGGAGTGAAACAAAATGTCACCCAACTCCAAAGTTCAAGTTTGTTTTATTTTGAGTTAATTGAATTGATTATGATTATGAGGGAAGTTTGCTGGGTTTTAATTACTCATATTTGTCATCTTTTAATAAATTTAAAGAGGAATCTGAAATAAAAGAAAATGCCCTCTCAATTCATTCATTAATTAGAGTGGTTGATGCATGGTGTGTTCGCCTATAAGACAGGTGATTATAGGCTCTAACTACAACTGTTATATACATGTTGAATGATTATTTGTTCAGCATAAAGACATTGCCAGCATGCTCGACATTTGGAATTAATATCAATTCATAATTATTATCTCTATAATATATTAATAATTTTCTTTAATATTCATTTAAAATATTGCCGAATTTTACCTATATGAATTAATTAAGTAAATATGTCAAAACACACTTAAAATAGCAAGACTGTTTAAGTAATATTTATCATTGAATTCATTTGATTTCTTAACTTGGTAAATAATAAATATTAATTTATTCTAAGAACATATATTAAAATGGTAGAGATAAAAGATTTACATAATATTAATTAATTTAACATCCTATTCTCTATTTGAAAAGAAGAATGTTGGATAATACAAAAAGAATGATAAGATAGGGTAATTGGCTGTTAAACTGCTAATTAATCAGAGAAGGGAAAAGAAGCCAATGGATCGATGCAGCTGACAGAGTATCAAATTGATTGGTCATAAACAGTCGACGAGGAAATTCAATCCAAGTTTTAATTAATGATTTAAACTCCGTGCAGAGAGAAAAGTACAAAACAAATAGCCTAGACCTAGAGCAATTAAACAGTGAAAACGACACGTATTTGAAACATGGCAGGGCCAATTAATTTAAAAGGCAGCTCATCTCTGCCGTTCAACCTCAGCGTTAAATATAACACTAATAAGCCAATTGAATGGTCTGGTAATAGTAAATTACCAGAATTACTATGAATCTGACAAGGTTAACGCCGTCAGACCGTCTTACAACAAATAGGTGAGGATGAACTCGAGAGAAAGAGAGAGACAGTCCATAAGGTGACACGTGATCATGTCTTCCTTCACGTGTCCATTGAAGGTGTTGAGATGGAAGCGTTACGTTTGTTTAGTTTTGGCATATAGCAGTATGATTGTGGGAAGCATGCATTTAAGGTTACTACTGTAATAATAATCCACGGGTTTTGTTGGCGATTTAATGATTCTTTAATTTGTTTCCTTATGTTCTTGCACCCAAAGCGTTACCAAGTATTGTTTATCGTTTTCTTCGCGCAAACATAAGATTTGAAGTAATCAGAGTATTGAATCTTAAACAATTCAAGGGAGAATATTTAGAGACTTAATCTACAGGATCCAAACATCTTTAGCTTTTGAATTACTGTAAATAGTGCAGATGACATGTGAGCACTGAATATGATAATAAGGCACTTCAAGAATCAAGACCCGCAATTATATGATTTTTTAGGAGAAATTTGCAACTTGGTGATTGACAAAACGAGATTCATCTGAAACGAAGCCGTTCTCTTCAGAATATGGGCCACAATTCTAAGCCCGCACGTTGATCTAAAAATCCAAAAAGAAGTGGGCTAAAGTTCGGTTCTGATAAAAATCAAAAAACAAGTGGGCTTAAGTTTCGGTTGTTTCGGAGGCACCCCATTGGTCAAAAATAAAAGGACAGAGGCGCCAAAAGGGAGCGACCTAATCCAATTTCTTCATTAATAAGGCAGATGGATAAGGAAAGAACTGCCTAAGCCTACTGAGTCCTGCACTCCAGCTCCTGTAAACAAAAATATCACTTAGTAGCCTGGCCTCTCCTCCATATCAATATGGCCATAGCAATAGCAGTCGCCAATTCCTGCTTCTCTGCGCTCAATTCTACTGTTAAATGCCGTTGCATTTCCTCCCAACGCCGTAACCCCACGTCACAGGCCCTCGCTTCCCTCACTCCCCATCCCGCCAATCAAAACAAAAAAAATTTTAAAAAATCACCATGCACTTCTAAAATCACCACCTCTGATGTAAACCCTAATTCTTACAATTTCATTTCATTTCATTTTGTTTGTCTTTAATTTTTGGGGTTTTTTATTATTATTATTTTTTAATTCAGTGAGTTCGTTTCTGTTTCGCAGTGGAAATTTCCCGGAAGATCGATTGATGGCCGAGTAGACGTTGGACGTTCTCAATCTACTGCTTCTAAATCTTTTGGCGCGCAAAGGAAAGACAGAAAGGAGCTTCAGCTTGATTCGAAGGAGCAGCCGGTACTCTTTTCAAAATTTTAAGTGTAATTAATCATTTGAAAACTCTCTGTTTTTAATTATTGACGTAGTATATTCTCAGGTTGAACCAGGGAATCTTCAAGATGCAGCTTTTCTTAATGCTGTTGTGAAGGTAAATATTTTTTTCTTTCTCTTTTACGTGTTCGCATTGTAGTTTTTAATCAGTGGATTTTCTTGTAATTCGGTTTAACATAAAGAGAGGTCAATGTAATTTTTCCTTCTGTTTACTGGGTTCACACTTAAAGGATCAATCATATTTTTGTTTGCTTCTACTTGTCAATGTTTTTCATTATTTATTTTTAATTTCTCAAGGTTTATTGCACCCATACTGCTCCTGATTACTCCCTTCCATGGCAAAAGCAAAGGCAATATACAAGTACTGGAAGGCAAGTTTTCAAATCTTAATCTGTTTATTGTTCAAGATCAAAATAAATGTTGAAAGAAAATTCTAGAAAAAAGATAGAGATTGAAGAAGTTCAGTTGGTTCTTTCTAGCTCTTTATTAAACATACTGGTTTATCGCACCCATTATTTTCTAACGTAATGTAGTTGGTGGTAAAAGCTTACTTTTTTCTTTTGAATCATGTTTTTTCCAGTGCTTTTATGATTGGAGATGGTAAACTTTTGACAAATGCACACTGTGTTGAACATGATACACAGGTAATCTACTCAGTTGCCTACCTTTTGACGGATATTTAATATATTAAATGATGTCTGTTGTCTGAACTTCTCTAACTGCACTACATGCCACTGATTTGGAATCACCATTACCTTCAAGAAAAAAAAACTTTAGCTGGAGTTTATTCTCTAGTGAAATTACTACAGTATGCATCAGTTAAATGATTCCATAAAGCCAGGTCTCCTATTTCTTACCGTAGGATGCATTAATTTGCAGTATTGTCCTATAATGTGTCAGAAACCTGTTTTAAAGAGTGATTTTAGGTTTTTTGTTGCTTACTTTGGTTGCCACTATTTTTTCTTTTGTGTTCAGAGGAATTGCCCTATGCTGCAGTTGCAATTTTTTGAAAATAAACTCTAACTTTGTAACTACTGCATACAAGGTGTTGACTGTACGAGTGTCTCTCAGACCTATTAACCTTGTATATGAGTTTGTCAAGTATTCATGTAGATTATCAAGTCCATTTGTTTAATTGATTACTGTTTCTTATTGTTGTTGTTGTAATTATTGCAGGTTAAAGTGAAGAGAAGGGGAGATGATACCAAATATGTGGCTAAGGTATATATCCAATAGAAAGACAAACTAGTTTTTTGTCATGTTCCCAAGTTTTTCAAAATTTGTAACAGGATTCACGATATTCTGCCGTTTTTCTTAATATCTTTAGATAATCTCTGTGCTATGGTTGCTTGTTCTCAATGAAATTTGTGGTTTTAGTGGT